GTATCTTTTTCAATCAGTGTTTTTGTGTCTTTTGGGTAGATACCTAGGAGTGGGATTGCTGGGTTGTAAGGAAGCTCCATGTTTAGCAGTTTGAAGAACCTCCAAACAGTTTTCCATAGTGGTTGTACTAGTTTGCATTCCCACCAGCAGTGCAGGAGAGTTCCGAAAAGGGTAGTCTTTTATAATAGAAATATGCTTAATAATGCAAGAATAATATTTGGATGGCTTTTCATATTTTGATGACTATGCAGAGTTGGCCTTGAGAAAGTAGATGTTAGAGACAGAGGACCTAGGCTTTACAAACACTGTTCTCCTTGTAAAGTGATCATCATTTCTAAAATGCATTGTTTTCTTCCCTATATTGTGGCTTCTATTCGCTTCTACAATTTGAATATTTGTTTCCTTATTATAACTAAAGAAAGGTGGGTGTGAAGGCTTTACAGAGGTCCTTCAAAGCAAATCACCACTAGTGATTGTTTCCGTTTTACACTAGTAGATGTATGGTTCACTTGGTGATGGACACTGGAAATAGGAAGGTAAGGGGGTACCTCATCCAAGTACATAAGCTAACTCTGGGGAAGGGTTTCATATGTTTATTTGACTTAATTTTTTTATGTTAACTATATTAGTGTCTTTGAAAAATCGGGAAATGTATTCAGTATTGGATTTGAAGTGGTTTTTTTTTTTTAAATCTTTATTTATTTATGCATATAAAACTTGGGGTATAGGCCATAGGTTTGGGGGGGTTGAGAGGATCCACTAGAGGTCGAGTGGGAAGCAGAACAGGCAGATCTACTGAAACACACTGCTGAGGGGATGAGCGGGGAGACAGGAGAGGTCTGCTCCCTTGCTGGGAATTGGACTTGTGCCACAGTGACTAGCAATAGCTTGATAGTGCTGGGATTTTAACCCCTGTGCCACCAGTTCGGCCCAGATTTGAGTTTCTAAGTGTGTAACTTATTTAGATAAGACCATTATCTTAATCTTCTAAAATGACCATTATTCTGCTTTTTCCCCTCTTTTTCCACAGAGATATTACATATGACATATCAGTAGAAGCGATTTCTACAATGGTTGTTTTCCTTTCCTGCCAACTCTTTCACAAGGAAGTTTTGCGACAGAGCATCAGTCACAAGTATTTGATGCGAGGTCCATGGTAAGTTTTTAATTTAAATTTGTCTTTTTTTTTTATTGTGTAAGTACATATTTCTAGTCTTTTTTTTTCTTACTTTAGTATTTCTCATATTTCCAACTGGACATTTCCTTTGCTGTGGCATCAATACTTCAAACCCAGAGTTTGCTTTCCTGTCCCGTCTTCCCTCCTACCTCTTTCATCCCCATCTGCCTTTTCTAGTGTTTGCTTTGTAGAATGGAAGCTTTAGGTCTAGAACCTATCACAAGGTTTTCTCTCAGTTGCAGGAAATAACACCAACTGGTAGATATGTAGCCCTTTTCACCTATGTTTATCGTTTTTCCTTTCATTCATTATTTAAAAGTAAAGATCATTGAAATTATCATTAAAAATTTCTGTACACCTATGTATATATTTTTGTTTGTATGGATACATGGAGAAATTTCATACTTAAAAGTTATATTATTGCTTTTTAATTCCTACTCTTTCCTACTCACCCACTCACCCAGTGCTGTTACCTCCCTTCAAGTGCCACTGTATTATACAACAAACTTGACATTTCATCTGTAATGAAACCACAAATCACAAATAAGACAATTAAAATTTAGAGTTGAATTTGTAATTTGACCAGTGATTATAAGTATAATAAGTGGAAACCCAGAAATTAGCCTTAAGGCTGACCTCAAAGATGCTGATCTTCACTAGTAAATGATAATCCTAGATTTTTTTCAAATTATACTAATGACTATATATTGATAGATTATGTTTACCATTACACAAAATCCAGTGACTCATATAGTATGTTTATTTTCTTCTTTTTGCTCTTTTGTGTAGTCTTCCATATACCAGCAAACTTGTGAAGACTTTGCTGTATAACTTTATCAGACAAGAAAAGCCACCTCCCCCAGGAGCACATGTTTTTCCTCAGCAGTCGGAGGGGGCAGGGCTGCTCTATGGACTGGCATCTGGAGTGGCAAGTAAGCCTCTAGAGTCTTGAAATATCTTTGATGCACTTAGATCTTGTCTAATTAGTCATAAGGATTTTGCTTGCTACTAACAGGTTGGGTCTGAGAATCTGAATGTGAAATATGGATGAAACTTAAAATATTAAGTTTTTTTTTATTTGTTACAGTGATTTGTGCATGGAATATCTATAAATACTGACTATAAATAGGTTGTTTACTGTAAGGCATCATTTAAAAATATTTTTAAGACATGTTTATAAACATGTATTTCTTGTATTGTGTAAATACATTTAAGTTCTTAGAAATTTTCTACTAGTGTTTTATGAGGAAATCATTATATTTTAATGGCATTATTGGTCAGGATTTTACATGACTAAATAGGTGTAGTTTTCTTTTTTTTAAGATTTATTTAACTTATGCATACAGAACTGGGGTACAGGCCAGAGGCACAGGGGCGGTGAGAGGCTTCACCAGAGACAGAGTGGGGAGCAGAACAGGCAGATCAACGAAGTACACTGCTGAGGAGAGCAGCGGGCAGGTCAGGAGAGGTCTGCCACACCATGTGGTCACCTCCGGGGGAGGCGGGAATCGAACTCATGCGGAAGTGGCTTTTGATTCTTAGTGCAGTGCTTTAACCCGCTGCGCCACCAGGGAGGGCCGTAGTTTTCTTTTTATACTCAATGTTTTTATCTGATCAATGACAAATTAGCACATTTTGTAGAATTTTGTAAAAAAATTCTAAAATGGCACACACTTGTATTTTATCAGATTGGAAGCAAATTTTAACTGAGGAAAGTCCTTTCTCATTGTCAGTACAGCGTCCTCTGTGCTTCTCAGTGCACAGATCCGAAACAATAGAAATCCAAGAGCAGTTCTGGGTCCCCTTTTTTAGTATGGAGGACTTGGGTCACGTGAGGTATATAAACTGCTTTTGCTTTATTCTAAAGTTAGGCCAACACTGGCAGTTGTAAAGGTGTCTTATTAAATCAGAAGCATGAGTTTGACTTACCAGCATATTGCTGGTGTCAGTATGAAGGATTTTAAATAAGCTCACTTCCCCAACTGAATTCTGGCTATGTTGTGTTGTCGTGACACCTTAGGATTATATGTACTTGATAATGAAGCTTGGACACACCTTTGGATTAAAGGACCTCTGTTGAGTTGAAGAATATATTTACATTTGCCTTCCTTTGGTTTCTTTTAATATTCTGAGTTAAATTACGTTGTGTTTACTGATGTCATTTTTAGTGTCGAGAGGCTACCTAGAAAACAGGTTTTCTAAGTCACTTCTGCCTTCAGTCCTCACTGCTTTAGATGAAGAAACTGTATACACCTTTGCCTTCCTCATTTGTGACCTATGACGGCAGCCCAAAAACAGGTTCTTGTGTCCTATGGGAAGGCTTCAATAACCTGTTGTTGTCTTTTTATTTTGATCATTGAGCTGGTAGAAGTGTTTGAAAACAGTATTTTCCAATATTTCAATGTTGCTGAAGATTTTCTGAAGGAGATAGTATTGAGTTCATTAACTTTCTTCAAAACAGTGGCAATAGCTGGCAGTTTTTAGAAACTAATCTTTATAACTACTAATCAAGTAAGTAATTCTTTGGAGTTATTTGTTATGAAAAAGAAGTAGAGTATGGTATCTGGTATCATCAGTATTGGTGCCCCAAAACTTAAAACTTTAAAATTTTAGTTTTGCTCATATGTAGTGTGTCATAAGGAAGTCCCTTTGCTCCCTAATTTCCAGTGGATTTGTCTATCGAATGAGAATGTTAGAAAATATCACCTCTGAGATTATTTCCATACAACTTGGCCCATATTGAAAAAGAAACTTTTGTTACTTGCACCGAAGGTCTGGGGCCTCTTATTCATCAAAATCATGATCATGTAAAAGAAAATAAACCTAACTGGTGAAGTCAGTGACCTGAAAATCTCTGACAATTAAAAAAATGTCAGAAATATTTTATCTTTTTGGTTTGCTCACACTATAAAATTTATATAAAAAAGGCCTTGAAGAACTGACTAAATCGAATACACCAGTCATGTTTTTGCTCTTTTTCCAATTGGCTTTTCTTTTTATGTGGTGCAAAAATTGGCTAGTGACAGTCAGAACGGAAAATTTGATTATTAAATAGATATTGCCCACGAGAGGTTTCTCCTTGCTTCTTAAATGAACTTGCCTTGACAACAATCACTATGTACAGTTTTTTTATTCACTAACTTATCTAAAATATTGTATTTTCATTTCACAGTTTGTTTATAAAAGTAGCCAAAGATGTTAATAAAGGCATATTGCTGACTCAACTTGAATTATAATAAATATTTCAAATGTTTTACTAATCAAAGATAGCTGTAGTGTTAACAGTTTTAGTTATAGTCAGTAAGGCAATTGATATTGATTCTTACTTCATTCTATAAGTACATTACCTTATCCTGATAGGTGTTCTGCAGAGCAAATCATTAAAGACTCTTCTTACATTGTGATTTGCTATATTTGGAGCAGGGAGTATTGTGATCACAAATAGTTGTTGGGGCTTCTAAAGCAAACTGCCATAGGTGGGCTGACTTGAGCAACAGGTTTCTCACAGTTGAAGTGTGATAAGTCAAGTCTAAGCTCAAGGTGCCAGCAGATTTGGCCCTTGGGGAGGGTTCTCTTCCTGCCTTGCAGTGACTACACTGTATCTTCCCATGGCAGAGAGAGGAAGCTCTGGTGACTCATCTTTCTCCTATAAGGGCACTAATCCTGTCAGGGGGCTCCACCCTCCTGATCTCATTAAACCAAATCACCTCCCCAAAGCCCCACTATTTGTTATCATCATAATGGGGGTATAGGACTTGGATATATGTATTTCTGGGGGACAGAATCAACTCATAACAGGTATTCAGTAGGTTGTGCTGGAATTTCTTTCACTGAAGTTCTGTTTGGGAGGTGACTGGTCTTTTTTTTTTTTTTTTTTAAAGAGATGGCTAAGGCATCTTTCAGCTCTAGTTGTTCTCTATTTAAACCACAGTCTGGCTTAGTGGTGACACTGAGGTTGTGAGTGAAGCAGATTACTCATGGTCCACTCCAATCTCAATAATATGTAAACTTCAAAGAGAGACATTCAGGATGTTTCTGTGATGAAACAGATTTTCTTTTCTGTTTTCAGGGGCCGCCGTTTATTTTGTCTTTTGGAGGGACTGGCTCTAGCTTTTCCTAATTTGGTATTACGAAAGATGTACAGATACTGGATTTTGGCTTATATTAGCTAGACCTAGAATTGAATGCTGGGCTTGCCATTTGCTAATATTAGGCTGTTTTTTGTCACAATGACTCAAATTTAGTGTAAAGTGATCAAATGAGCAAAGATAGAGGCAAAAGCTTGTCATCTCCATACACAATAAATGATCTCTGTCAGCTACAAATATTAAGTAGTAATATTTACAAGTATTAAGTAGTAGTAAAGACAGTGTTTTAAAAAATAGAAAACCAGTGATCTTTCAGTGATTTACAAGCTTACTCATACTTCTAGTATAAAGAAATTATGACAATATCTAGTATTTGGTATGTCCATTTATAAGAGAGTTCAGATAAAATCTCTAAAAGCATTTTTATGTTGAAATTTTAATATTGTGAGAAGGAAAAAGAAGTTACAGCATTTATTTTGTTTCTCTTTTGATTCTTTTTAATTGCCTCTAATGCCTTAAAAAAGGGTGAAGTAATTTGAAGGGTTGACCTTGAAATTTCTTTTTTTGTAACGACAAAGCTGTAATGTGATTATAACTGAGTATTTAATGTTTTAAAGAGCCAAGCCTAATTAAATGTGTTCTGCCAAACTTCGCTTTCCATCACAACTACTGAGGTTTTACACAATATCTTCTGATATATGGCTTTTCCATTTGAATGAGCCATCAAAAATGTTTTTTTTCCTTTGCTTGCAGAGGTGGGTAGCCCAGCCAAATTGTAAGGCCAAAGTGGTGATTATTTACTTAGGCAAATGCTGTAACAGAGAAATTAATAAAGTAAAATTTGAAGATTAAAAATTATTTCTCCCAGTTGCTGTTATTGAGAAAGTTATTGAATTCCTTATGGTAGGTATGGTATGCAGTAGTTGTAATTTATTTTATGTGAAGGTTATTTTTAGTCTTCAGTGTGGCTTTTTTTGGACTGCCTCATCAAGAGAAAGAAAAACTGCAGTAAGAGAAAAAGTATGTGACACTCAGAAACAGGCATAGTTGTGAAAACGCTTCTAATTAAAGCACTTTGTACTTTCAGAAAAGTACTTTATAAACAATAGTTGCATTCTCAGTTCATTTTTATTTGGGATTATTTGGTAGATTTAATGTATCAGGTGAAAGAATGACTTTCCCCCCACTTTCAGGACTGAACTCATTTTGAGACTTTTAAAATGTAGTTAATTTCAATTTACTGTTTTCTCGTAGTGCTTCCTTGTGGGGATGTATTGTATGTACAGATTAATATCTACAGTACAAAATGATTATTTAGTTGTAGAATAATTATAAGGGTTGTTTTATTTTGAATGTTCTCTGAAAAAGGTCTTCAGGTTTTAGACTTTTTAAAAAAGGGTGTTTATTAAATGCTACTCAGTAGAAGTAACATCATGTATCTTATCCTTGTAGCTTGCTGACAACTACTCTTAAACCATTTTCCAGAAATTGCTTTGAGATATGCCAGCCCACTACTCATATTTCCTTCATAACAGATGTGACGGGAAGATGGAAGGGTTCCTTTTATGCCACAAATAGATGGAGAATGAATGCATTCATATTCACTAGGAAGAATCCAGGAAAAGCAATCAACTTTACATGAAATCCTAGGAATAGGTCTCTAAGGCTTGCTCTAAGTGTTTGTTTAGTATAAATGATTTAATCTGTTTTTGACACTCCTGCAGATAGTTTATGTTACTGTAGAATTTTAGATTAGCAAAGTAAAATATTAAAGGTTAAAAAATAGAAATATTAAAAACATGAAATTCTAAGTTTTTCAGAACACAAATCTTACTTGTTTGAAA